GAGTAAGATGAGTGGTGTAAGATGAGTGGAGTAAGATGAGTGGAGTATGATGAGTGGTGTAAGATGAGTGGTGTAAGGCGGCGGCGGAGGCGGAGACGGCGGTTTCGGAGCAGCGGGTGCAGAGCGAAACACAAGAACCCCACATAGTGATGTGGGGAACAACATGTGCTTGACGCCCTGGCACTGGGTGGAGCTCATCATCTCGTTCCAGCCCTTGTTCTATCACGTCTTGTCACCATAACATTCTACTTTCGTCTCCCAGCGTCTGTTCTCAAGAAATTCCGTCTCAAGTTTGATGGCGTTGAAAGCTTTTGAACAGCCGGAACCCAATCCGCCTCGCTGAAGGTGCTGTGGCAGAATCATTTCGTGTCGTAGTATCGGCCCAGTGGCATGTGTAGTGCTTAGTTACTTAGAGTGTTACTTAGCTTAGCTACGGGCGGGGGTCGATAGTCCGCGACCCGGACAAAGTTCATAAAACACAAAGCCATGAGAGTTGAAGTTTTTCAAAAGTGAATAAAACTATATAAACCGATTAAAATAGACTACGTTGGACGTTTCGGAGCAACATCTTCCGAACATGGCCCCACTTCGCCAAAGATGAACCCATGTTCCAAAGATGTTGCTCTGAATGCAGGGGCATCGATTGTTCCCCCATGTTGAGTCCGTTAGCGCCAACTTGATCGATTGAACCTGTTGGGCCTACAAAGTACTGAATCAATCCGACACACCATGCTTCTATTCTTGTGTGGGCAGGAGTCGTCGCGGGGCACGCCACAACTTTCTACCAGAATCTGAAGCTACCGCAAGTAACTTGAACTACAAATAGAGTTGCCGGGCTTCCCACTTGATCCTGGCTTGTACTGATAAATTGAGGCTGCTGCTTGTCTCTTCTGTCCTTTTGCAAATGCTCCAAGGATTTTTTGACCTTTTGTTACCTTTGTCAGGCTCTCCGGCATGTTGCAAAGCTCGAGCTGTCAAAACTCTGTTCACTGCTCAACAAACAGGCAAGGATGAAACTGTAGGACGCATCAAAAAAAATCCCTTACCCTGCCACGAGCTGTCCGCTTGAACATTCAATGGGATAAAAGAAACAAATGGCTGAATGGTCTTACTAGCGGCGTGAACAAAACATGGTTCCATATATGGTTCCGCCACGTATAACGCAGTGACGACTTGGTTGGTGGGAATGTCTTCTGTTCTTTGCTTTTTGTCGCCTGCTAAAAAGGCCTACAGAGATAGTCACCAATAAACTCTGCCAGTCAGAATTGGATGAATGTGGACTATGGACCTGGACACACGTGCGTTTTGGGAGGCCTGCCAAGCATTTGTGCAACATTGCGTGCAACGCTCACCTGATCTTTTCGACGCTTTGAGCAAAGGCCAGTGGTTTTGGCCGTGGCCCCAATTTAAAGTTTTGGGGCCTCATGGCCTTATGAACCTTCGAAGCAAAAGTTGGAAGCCGCAGCCATTGGAACATAGCTGACGAGAAAGCCTGGGCTGAACAAAGGTGTGCAAAGACAGCCTACAAACACTTTGAGGCAAGGCTGCGGAGGAATTCAAATGTTGAGCTGGCTAGTGCCAATCGCACGATGCTCTGTTGAAACCACAACCGCCAATCTTTCTATGGCGCCGGCGTGACACCCTATGCAGCTGATGTTTTGATATTCTATTTCGCAGTATGTACTCTCTCACAACAGGGGAAGTGCCAGGTGCCAAGTAAGATGGACAGCAAGGATGGAAGCGTGAGCTGCGCACAAACAGGCAAATCTCACACGTTTGCTGCACAGAAGCGAACTCATTTGATAGGTCTTAGGTCTCCTTCAACAGCTTCAATATTGATTCAATGGAGCTTTCACGTTGTGCTCTCCCTTCACATGCGGAAAACGCCATAAGCACCCGTTGACCCATAGCCCGGGGACCGGCTGCACACTCGAAGGCAGCGACCCAATACATGGCGGGTGTCGCGAGGATCCTTGGAAAGTCTCACGACGCTAAGCCGCATTTCTTGGAACCAACGGTTGACATCAAGCACACAACACAACATAACAAAACACCATGCTTTCAAAAAAGCGAGGCTTTTTCTCCATACTTGTTGCATCTTCTTGCTCAAAGGGATTTTACTTGGCTCGACGCAATTATACCATCGTCCCACAGTCGTGAAGTCGAGTGGTAAGCGCTGCCTGTAAGAAACGTTTGCGAAACACAACCACACCACAACAGTCTCCACAGTCAAGAGTGGCCAACCTTCTGCTTCATACTTCTCCAAGGTCGGCTTCTTGAAATCGCTCAGCTCCTTTTCTGTCATCGCTGCTTTGCCCTGCCGCTTGAGCTGGTCCTGAACCCATCAGCAATTCTGCCACCTCTAGGTCCAGAATTCCTGTTCCAAATGAACACACGCTGGCACTTCCTGCTTGACAGTTGCCAGCACATCTGCAGCTTGAGCACCCCCCATCACACTGATTCCTCAGCAAGCGCGTGTACCAAACCTAAGCATGAACACCAGCCAGGGAAACTGGAAGATTTGTATGGGGACCCCACTGGTAGCTGAGCCAAGCTTCGTGAATTGGGCCAAATGAACATGAAGCGGGGGTCATAGGCACGCCCACACATGCCGTAGTTTCCAGCACCATGGCTGCCAGCGATTATAACCGTGATCTTTGGTACCTCAGTCATGAACCCTTCCTTTTCAACATGTCCAACGTGAGACTGCCGACTTGAGCACTCTTTGACTTGCAATCAACTCGTCACACGACCTTGTGCAGTGAATCACACGCAATTTGCTTCTCACACCTCCACCGGTAACCTTGGCCTTGCCCATGTTGTGCTTGCCGGCAAGCAACATCAACGCAAGACACCGCATTGACCATCTTAGCGCCATCGCGGGCAATGCCACTGTTCTCGTACGCCTCCGGCGGCGGAAAATGAAAAAACATACCAAATTTATCCAATTATTTTACTCAGTATGGTCGATTATTCAAGTGTGCATCTACACTGACAGTCTGCAGTCTGTGTGTGTATATATATAAAATATGTATATATATGTATATATATGAAAACGTCACAGCGAACGTTGGACACGCTGTTTTCCTCCAAACGAACTTGAGCCTACAGGGTCATAGGCATGCCCAGTGTCTGGTTTACACCCTGCCTTTTTCGAGGGTGTCTTTGTCAAAAGCGCCTTCGAAACCTAATCAGCATTCACCTTCATGATGATGTAGACTTCGACCCCCACATCGTTCTCGATCTGTTCAAGACTGTAGGCTTGATAGGCATCATCAACCAAGTTCTCATACTCGGCTTCGTTCTCAATGTGTCCTTCCAGACTTCCATAGTCTGTGGTCAGGCTGTTTTCTGACTCCTCATCTTCCCTTTCTCTCCTCTCTTCTTCTGTCTCGACTCTCACCAATCTCAGATGCACCTCTGTCTCATGGATGTAGCCATCATTGTCGATGTATGTGCTTCTCCTTACCTCTGCATCATGCTCTGCTGCTTCTTCTCCTTTCTCTTCTCTCCATTGCGGGCCGACAATGTGTCTCTGAAACTTAATCCAGAATCGCCTGCCCACTAAACCCATTGTCGAGGTTCAGCTTCTTCATCTGTCTCATCATACTCATGTCGACGTTGGTGACCTGACGGCCAATTTGACCACTTTTGCCACTCTGCATTCTGTTGGTGTTGCCATCTTCTTGGAGCGTTCCACAAACACACGCGCAAACCTCTGAAGTGTAGTTCTCATCTTCTCCAACCACACTTCGAAGCGTATCCCAGGAAGGTACATGTCTCCTCAAGTCTCTTGCTGTGTTCTTCAAAGCCTTCAGCGAAATCAGGATGACAACGCTCAAAAGCACAATGGCTATTGTCAACCCCATCACGACTTACTCCAATGTCTCACTTCCTGTCGCCTTTCTCCTAAGCAATCCTCCTGGCTGCACGGGCGGCTCATCTTCTGGGAAACATAGCTCACTGTAGTTCTCCGCAGCCAGGCTCAAGGCTGAATCCGCAAGCGTTGCCATCATAGTGAGTCTCAACAGCCACTTTGAAAGTTGGTTTGCCTGGTTGACTTTTCTGGCGAACCTTCTTCCACAAACACCAGACCATCCTCCTGACTTCCTGGAGTCTCTTCTTCTCATCTTGCTTCATTCTCTCGGCCTCAAAGTCCTCCTTGCCCAATTCTTCAGAGTCATCTGTGAACCCCATCAGGAACAGCAACATGTTCACTTTCTTTCCTCTACGTGCTTTTGTTCCAATGTCTGCAGGGTTCGTCATAGCGTCAAGCTTTCTGAAGTCCAAGTCTCGGCCTTGTCTCTGTTGGAGCCACAGCAACCTTCCGCTCAAACGCTTAGCTCCCTCTGAAGCGCCTGACACCAAACCAACATATCCGGCTTCTGTGCTGGACGGGCTGATGTTTTTCTGGGTCCTGGCATAGGAATGGATCCGGTCGCCTCCAAGGAAAATACATCCTGCTGATGTTGAACTCCTTGTCAACTTGTCTGAATCGCATGTCACCTCCAAAAGGCATGCTCCTTCTGCCTCCTCAAAACACGGGAGCACTGGTGAGTCCTCTCGCACGGTTCCTGAACGAGTTGTTCTTGCTCTGACTTCTCATCACCAAATGCACCTCCATGGTCGTGGCCAAATAGCCAACCAACTTCCACCCTCTGTAGGGCTTTGGAGCCTCCCGGCCAGCTCTTTCACAGAACTGAATTTGTGGACGGTCACCTGCCATGCAAAATTCCATCTGCTGACCGGTACATTGGCCTCCTCCAATCATCGTCTTTCCAGCTTCCGCTCCTGGCGTCTTCGACTTCTTGACCGGACTCATCATCTTCACAAGACTGTGGATGTACTCCTCATTCACCATCATCTTGGTTTCTGAGGAATCCACCATCAAAGTCCTCTTCGAGAAGCTCAGTGCATTGCCGTCCTCCACTGACACCTTGTACCTCTTCATCAAGTGGTCTGTCACTCTAGCCGCTTCTTTGTCTTCTCGTCGGCGCTTCTGCGCGTGGTGTGAGCCCTGCCTCACTCGGGCTCCTCCTCGACTCTTGGTACCAAACGTAGCAGCGAATGCCCTGCCGGCGCAAAGACGTCAGTCCTGTTGGGATCGCACCTGTTCTCTCGCCACCTCCAACCCATCACCAATTTGGGGCGAGCAGCGGGATGTCTTCCATGTCTTCGTCTTTTCCTGGCGGCATCAAGACTGGCGCGCGCCAATCAGCCTCTGAATATCTTCCTTGTGGCCTCGTCCTCGACCTCTGCAAGCTCAGCCTCTGTAAGCCCTGGTGCTTGATCTGGAAACTGCAAGCTCTCATCTCCATCTGGCAACAACTCTCCAGCTACCGCCGTACAAATCGTCTAAGCTGATGCTGCCTCTGGTTCACCCTTCTCTGAACTTGTTGGTCTTGTTCTCTGCATTTTCTTTGGCGCTGATCTCAACGTCACCTTCTCCTCCAAAACGGACTATCCATTGCACTTCACCTTGGGCTTGCTGGCGCCTTGGCAACCTCACTTTCAGCAGTGGGTTCCTGCAAGCTATCAAGCAGGTCCTGCAGCAACGTGTCATCGGTGATTTCTAGACTTCCTTCTTCTTTGTCCTCATCTGGTTGTGTTGGCGTGTGACGCTGCTTTCCTCAACTGCCCCTGCCTTTCTCTTGTCTCCTCCAGCTTCATCTCCTCTAAGCCTCGCCTCATCTTCCTTCTTCTTCAACTTCTCCTCTCTTGCCATCTTCTTCTCCTCAGCTCTGATCTCTGGGGCGAGTGCTGGCGGCAGTGGGACTGTTGGAAACTTACCCGCCGGTGACGATGCTTTGGCACCAATCTGACCAAACCCAATGTTCCACGGCCAGAACTTCACTTAGGTCACGGCTTCTGGATCAAAAGGTGTCGGCGCCTCCTGATGGTTCTCGCCGTGGCCACCATGTGGAAGTCAGCTCGGTGAGTCTTTCCAAACCACAAACCAGGTTCAACTCGTCACTTCCATGGTCCTTCTCCTTGTCGCCTGAAGTGCGGAAACACAGGCGAAGATGGTTTGATGTGCATCTGGCAACCTTCCTTCACCCCGTGCAAGGTCCTTGCCATGCCTCTTACCGTCTGAATTTCTCGCTCCACACGGCCATTTGCCTGTGAATCTGCTAGGCCACTGATGTCGATGTTTGTGTAAAAGCCCAACCTCAGCCTTGCTTGTTGCAACACTTCCACCAGCATTCTCATTGAAGGTTCTCCATCTCCTTTGAAGATCACTCGTGAATACCCCAAGCTCCCAATGAATTTCATCACCTGCTCAGAAGCGGGCCCTGCCTTTCCGTGGTGTTGGCACTCACAAAACAGCATGTGACCAATTCCTCCTCTCAGGTCACCCTGGTAGATGCGCAGGTCCTCCTTCACCTCAACGCCCACCTCATCGTCTCCTCGGCTGAGACAGAAGTCCATTGAGATCACCGGCGTGTCTGCCTTTGCTTCTTGCCGTGCTGCATGCTTCTCACTTAAGTGATAGTCAACACGACCTCTACCAGCAATGCAGTGTTGGCACCGCGGCTGATATGGGTAGCGCGTCAGCTCGTGCGCCTGCCTCTCAGCCTTCGATGGCATTCTTGGAACTGCTTGCCCCCTGGCCTCTTCTCCTTCATCGGCCTTCATCCTCTGGAACTCTTTGCGGGGCAACTCAATGCTCAGGTTCTCAGCAAAATGCTGATAGTGGTGAACCAACATCTTCCAAGGGCTCAGCTTTGTTCTTCCCTTGGCCTAGTCCACATTTCTTCAGGGCTTTCCTCAAGCCTCTCAGAGATCAAGTCTCCCTACTTCACTGATCTCAGGATCAAGTGGAGCCTTCTGACGGCCAACGGGGTCACCATGACCCAATGCCTTCTGTTCACCCATCTCCTCTTCTTCATCTTCATCCTCATAGACTCTGTCCTCAAAACTCTTTCCAAACCATCCTTCAACCACTTCAGCACTTCCTTCTTTCTTCTTCTTCTCCTCCAGGTCAAATTTCTTGTAGATGTCAGGCCTCAAGAACGGTGAGTCGTCGCCCGGGCTGATCACTCCCAGGGCCATGAAGTCATCCACTGTCTGATGGAAGAAGCTCACAGTCTTCAGCTCCTCCCCTTCACACTCCTCAATTTCATCTTCATCCTGCTTCTGTTCGGCCATTTCAACAGTTCCCAAAGTCCGTTCTTCAAGATGACAGTTGACCTGTAAGGAAAATCAACTCTGTTGAGCTGAGGGAATGAGTCCTTGTAGAACTTGGTGCTCGAAGTGACCAAGAATGGGACACGTCTGTCGGCATTCAGGTGCCAAAAAGGACTTCATCAACCCTTGAAACTCCATGGTACCTTGTTCTCTTCCTCCGCAGGTTGGCCTTCACCTATGTCTTCACCAACCTTTCGAATTCTGGCTTCCACTGTCAGTGAATTGTGTGTCTGAACTGTAGGCTTTTGCTGAACAATCCACGTGTCAACCTCACAGCTCCTCCTTCTCCCTCAATCTTCCAACCTCGTCTCAGCAGCTTGCTCAATGCCAGAACTTATTCTTTCGTTGAATTCCCGGGGTTCCTTGAGCTTTCCTGCTGTGGTGGGTTTAGGAGGCACTCGTTCCGAACATGATGGATGTTGATAGTCATGTGATCTTTCCACAAGTTCTGGCGCTATTCCTGATCTTTCTAAACGCTCAGCTAGCTTCTTCGAAGTCGGATGCCGAGACTATTGTGCATGCGTCGAATGATACTTTTCTGGTGTTCACTAAGTTCTTGAATCTTGAAACTTGGGTCCCGAATTGATCCACATCTTTTGGAGTCCATGAGGGAACGGGAACTGGAATCTTATCCTGTTCCGTCGGCACCATGCGTTCCTCTTCTGCCAAAGGACTTGAAATCGACTCAGGCTGCATCTTTGGTTTGACTGGTTCGATC